ACTGGTGTCACACGCACTCTGTTCCCCCAAACCTCAGACTCTCCCCTCCCTGCCTGATGTAGTCTGTGGTTCCAGGCAAATGCAAGGCTATCTTCTTGTGCTCCTACGTATGTCAGGGACCAGAGACCCAGGATGGCCTTCATGTGCTGAAGTGGAGTATGTCCAGCCTGGAATGAAAGACAGGCAGATCTATTAAACTTAAGATAGACTTTGATATCCTCAGGCCTGGTAAGCATTTTTTAATGACATGAAATAATTTTACTATTTTAATGGTACCTACTTCTGGAGACTAATCAGAATATTTTACAGTTATAGTACTTAGTTTCTATTTCATCTAATACTCATAACAGTGAAAGTGGGAAAAGCCAGGTGGTATTTAATAATAGTTCTCAAGTTCGGTGCTTTCAGTACAGAAATTGAAAAATGGTCTACTCACAGCCAGTTTGCATTGCATTTTCTTTTATATGGTGCTTTCCTGTGGGAATTTCTGTTGTACATTGCTCTGGTAGGTGGTGTTTAGGCAGAAGACTGGCTTCATGGTCAGGTGACATGTTTTCTAATGTTAAATTTACCTTTATGGGACCCTGACACATTTCATAATTCATTTTCTCACTCTCAACTCAGTGAAAACATTAGAAATCCTCTTCCTTGGCAGAAATATTATATTCAAAATTGGATGACACTGTATAAGGTATATATTCCTGGAAGAAAAGCTGTACAGATTTAAGATAGTTATTATAAAGTAGCAGTAACATTATGACCAATATTTGAATTGAGACTTATTTTAAAGTCTGGAATCCTTCACCTTCCTGAAAGTGTTAAGATAAAATCAGGTCTTTGGTGGTGGTTTAGGACAAGGAAGAAACAAGGGAGGACACCCATTCAGCTGTGATCATAGACATGGGCCAGGGTGTTATTCAATGTTTGCTTCCCCCCCCACCCCACCCCACCCCCCCAGCTTTTGCTGGAAAGGAATGTGCAGAAAGAAACTTCTGTCAGTTTTTGCTATTTTCACTTTTGTAACTTCTCTGGCCCAGCAAAAAGAAATACAGAAGTGTTTTGGAAATGTTTTGCCTTAAGGGAGAGGAATTTACAAATTTTATCAGCACTAAGCATGCAAATTCTTTATGCTATTGCTAAGATTTATGAAAGGTGAATACAAAGGAAAAGACAAATCTCTGTTCTTTCACAGCTTGATTGTGGTGATTCTGGGTCATTTGCAGAACATTTCACACTTTCCTTATTTTTAGGCATCTGACTTTCATTATAACAGCTTTTTATTGTGGGCAGTGTTACAAATTTGAATCTAGGTTCTGGCACTCAACTAGCATGTGCTATAACCTTAATGCAAGTCACCTTGTCCTCTCTCTGCTCTGGTGTTTTCCTCTAAAATGAGGATAATAGTGCACCCCGTTGGCCTGCTGCAGGATCCCATGTGTTGGATATCAGGCACAGCATGTTTGACAGATGTCCACTATCGTTACTATTAAAGGTCGGCAACATCAAAAAGAAGAGGCCGTGACTCAAATTAGAGTAGTGCACACCTATTGATACAGGGATTATAACCCTGTGACCTGTGTGCTTTCTGATTTAAATATTTCTAGAAAGACATAACATTGGCTTACAGAAAGGTAAGCTGCTGTTGTCAGAATAATTGACTCAGTGGACCACTTCCCATCTAAGGACTGAATAAACTGTTACCATAACTCCTGGAATGGGCATATGTAGGGAGAGGAGATGAGCATATTAAGAACTGCCCCATCCTCTGTGGATTTACCATGAATAATAGGAATTGTAGAAGAAAGGAAATACTCCATCTCTGGGATGATGTATGTGTGCTGGGTACCCCTGCATTTCACTGCTCGCCTTCCACCGCTCTGCCCACCAGGCACACTCAGAACGGCTTCCCTTTCTTTTTACTACCTAGGTGTTGTATTTACATATCCAACGTTTGGTCGTAGGAGAGAGGGTTGTTTATCAGATCTTTTGAGTCACTGTAGTGTGCCAGGCAGTGTCCTAAGCTTTTGGGTGCCTGTGTCTTCAGGGGGAACACCAGCAACAAAGAAGGAGCGAGGTGGTAAAGGCCTTGGAGAGAATTCAGTCCAACTGGGAACACAGATGAGGAATGAGGGTAAGGGGTGGGGCCATCAGAAGGGTTCAGATAGAAAATCACTAAAGACTTAAAAGGTTTCTGGGCAGACAAGGGAGTCCTTTAAGAGAGGACAGCAGAGAAAAGCATCTCTTTGCCAAGTGCGGGGGGGGGGCGGGGGGGAGGGGGGGAGGTTCGTTGATTAGGTCAGTATGACTAAGTTCCTTGAAGGCAGAGATTGTCCCCGTCAACTGATGGAGTAGGATTATCACTTCCTCTGTTAGTCAAGAGACCTGTAGGAAACTGGGTTTTTAGCAGATGCTGTGGATGGAAATGAAGTCGCCACCCTTTCTGTCCCTGTTGGTTTATAAACAGGGGTCCTAGTCCTCCAAAACTAATCTGAATACTTAAGGTTGTTAAGGACTTGTTAACCCTTATTCAGGATCATTACAATTTCTATGACATACAAATATTTAAAATAGACAACATTAAGATATACTTTTGATGTAAGAAGGTTTTTAAGAATGTTTAGTTGAATGCTTTGATACAAGGATATGTTTTTAAGCCATAAATTGGAGTAAGTTTCCAGTCATTACAAGCCACCTAGTAGTCTGTTAGAGGGAAAGGGTATTTCATTTAAGGGAGAGGACTATTTTAATGAACTCTTTACTTTTATGGAGTTTTAGATTTAACCACTGGATATTTTTCTTTTGCTGTTATTTTTTCATTAATCTACTCACTAAAACTAGACAGTCTTCATTTTGGCTAAACAGATTGTTATTACTGTTCACTATGATCTCGTTTTCCTATTAAAATCAATAATGTATTTGTAAAACGATGATAACATTACCACTTCCTGATTTTTTAATAATAGTGCCCTTTCATTTTATTTTACTTATTAAGCTTTGTGGTTACAAAATAGTCCTACTGTAGAACTGCTAAAATTGGATAAGTTGTTTTATTTGGTTGAGAAAGAGTGTCTGAGATGTTCAGGCTCAGCAGTTCTTAGCAAAGAAAACAAAAACTACTTGGGCTGGATGTTTGTTTCAAAGGATTCTTTTAGTTGATTTGAAGCAGAGCTCACAAGTATCACCTGCCAGTTCTTTTCAATAAAGTAGCAACCACTGTGATATGTTTTACAAAAGTTGCAGTTCCCTTAAAAAATAAAAGCAACTGGAAACAAAAGTAAAATAGAATAGTAGTTATAACAGATAAGATTCGCTTTGTAAATTACCATCACAGAGTAACATGGTGAGGTCCCAACTTGAAGCTAATATAAGGCAGACAGTATTTGGTCATTACACTGCGCCTTTTTAAAATCAGGACATAGCAAATATCCCCAGGCTGCTCTTTGTGCCTTGTAGAGTATCTCTTTAAGCTATATCCTTCCTTTGTGGCTGAGCCAGTAAGGAACTTTGAGGACATTGGTGGTGCACAAACGTGCTTCCTGTTTCAAGGCTGTTGTGTCATTTGACTCCCAGAAAGCAAGCTTGTTCCAGAACTGAAAGTGAAGTTGAGTTAGCCAGGTTTCACTTGGTAACATTTTGAATTATATCTAGTGTAAGAGATTATGAACTGAAATATAATAGAGAGTGCTCTAGTTTTGTTTTCTTGTGACATTTTATATTCATGCAACTTCTCCGTAAATTGTACAGATGAAGGCTGCTGCCCTACCTCCACCCGGGGTTGTAAACATGTCCTTTGCTATTGCATTGGTGTCTTCAGTGTGTTACTAATTATAAACAGTCATATGCCTTTCCCTTCACCTCAAGAACATCATCTGACTTTGAAGTGCTTTCATCAGTTCCCTGAGATGAGGGCCCGGGAGCAGGGTCCCTGCCCGTGTGGCCGCGTGGTGCTCCCTGGCAGGCGTGTTCCCCCTGCCTGCTGGAAGCCAAGCAGCGTGGGGACCCTGGGTCCCGTGAAGCAGCCAGGACGTAGTTCCAGTAAAGCATATGTTTCTAGTTCTCAAATTTAGCCAACACCCCTTTGGTTTATTTTAGTTTTGAAAATTGTGTAAAAAATACTGTCTGAAATATTTAAGTTTTCCGTAACTAAGAAGCAAATGAGGTAGCATAGACAAATGAAAAATTATCTGAAACTTTAAAGGCTGAATTGAAAAGGGACAGTGATACGTGACAGTTTGCTTGTTGATATTAAAATAAATAAAAATTGAGTGTGTTAATTTTTATGTGTAGATTTAAAAAACAATTCCTCTTCCACACTGTTGACAATACAATAAAGAAGTCATGTTTATGTATTAACTAAATTTTGTGTGAATGCTAAAAAATTAATACAATTTCTAATTTCAGGCTAAGGCTCTTTGAAATCAGGGTTGTTTCCATTGTGTTCTATATCAGAGTTTTCCCCAAGATAACATTCTTTTAAAGCCATTTATCTATTAATATAATTATTAAATGTAATCTTAAATGGTTTTTATGCTAAGCTTATGGTAGTAATAAATTACAATGCAATTATTAAAAATATAATTGTATTATAAAGAGTAAATGCTACATAAATAGTTCAGGGTAAGACATAGGTTGACTTACAGTTGTGTATTGAAGTTTAGAATGACTGGGTAGTTACAAACCCTGGCATACTTTTGCTTTTTCCTTTTGAGATTTGGTGATACCAGTTGTTTTTGGTTTTTCTGATAATCGTCATAAATTATTTTTACTGACCTGAGAGAAACGTCGCTCTTTTGACCCGCTCATTCATGCATCATTAGCTGACTCTTGTGTGTGCCCTGACCAGGGATCAGGACTGCAACCTTGGTGTCTGGGGACAGTGCTCTAACCGACTGATCTATCCAGCCGAGGCCCTGATAATGATATTAAAACGTACAAATGGATTTTTTTGACACATTTTATCTTTATTGTTTTTGCTTCATCTTTACTTGTTTTATTTGCAGGTGTTGACTTTAAAATCAAAACTGTAGAGCTAAGAGGAAAGAAAATTAGACTACAGATCTGGTAAGCGGAGAATCTGTACCTAGTAATTGCCGTATGTGTTTAACAACCCATATGCTTGTCTAATACAATTAACCATTTGAGCTGGTTTGTCTCTCCTGCTTTTCCTCTCCTTTGCTCATGTTTAAGTAAAATGAATAGTGAGAAAGAATTTAGAACAGTCTACTTATTTCATATTCCATTTGTGCATGGGGAATCATCCAAAGAAGAATGTTAATGATAGTTAATTTGGAGACTTTATGCCTCTATTTCCAAATCATTTGACAAAATGTCATCACCAAAATGATTACTAAAGTGCTTCTCTTCATGTTTTTAAAGTTATTTTGTTTGATAGTATTCAAAGAAAGTCCAGTATGTTTTTAATGGATTTGTAGAGTTTAAAGCCAAATCACCTTTAGATAGTTCAGAGGCTGTCCTTGGTGGCCCTGTGTGAATATCACTGTGGGGGACGCGCGTGCACACACCCCTTTTGGCTGTATTGCTGATGCCACGTGACATAAGCCCCCATCACTGTCAACTGGAAATGAATCCACAGCCGCTTTCTCACATTAATAATCGTATGAAAGACCAAACCAGCTGTGTTACAACCGTTTTCAGCCCTAAGAGCTCTCTGCTGGCTCTCAGCAGCCCACAGGGGGCATTAGGAAACTGATCTGTGGAGAAAGGATCAGGTCTGGTGGTGGTTTAACAGAAAGTGCTGAGGTGTTCTGAGAATGCCCTTTTGTTTTTAACGACACAGCTGCAGTGTACTCAGCTTACTAACTCCTCTCGGCAGGTCAATCTCAGCTCTGAATGTTTGTCCACCATGTGTGTGTTTGCTTTCATCTGCGTTAATTGCTGCCTCATCTGTGGCATCATCGGTCACCTAATGCTTGAATGTTAGTGCCATGCCTCCATTCTTCATCCTTGTCCCTGTCTGGGGCACAGCTGCAGCCGAACCAGCATTGCTTGCCCACCGGAAGTGTCTGAGGTAATATCTTTATTTGGTCATCTGTGACTGTATAACCCACCTTTAGAATCTTTTTGGCGTGTGTGTGTGTGTGTGTGTGTGTGTGTGTGTGTGTGATTTTGTTTTTCATATTTTGGTTTTAACTTGATTATGAAACATTAAGAATCTCACCTAAATAGCTGATACCAAAAATAAAGCATAATACTTGCCTGATTAGCCCATGATTGGAAAGGCAGCAAACTGCTTTGTGTATTGCTGCCCATTTTTTGAACTCTGGAAATAGCAACAAAGTATCTTCACTTGAGCTGCTGTTTTCAATAAAGACCATCTTTAAAAGTATTCAGAGTATGGTCCACCTCTGTACATAGTACCTGTAGGTGAGATATTTTTTGAGGGAGATTGCCTCACAAAGGAGATGTAGCTAATATTAAAATGTTTGTGAAGCTTGCTTAGTGGGTGTCAGCAGTGTCTAAATGATGACATGGTGGCCTGTGTTTAAAAACATACCTTAATTAATATATTCATACTCGTTTTCATCTCAGGCTGTAGTAATCTGTTTCACAAAAGCGTGTCCAAATGCCATGTGCCTCCCTGGAGCTGTGCTCACTAAAGTCTGTGCCGGTGACATTGGATATTTCTGGAATCTCATTCCAATGCCTTTGAATCTGGTCTAAGAGGGCCCACCTTATGAATCCCAGTCCGTGGGGAAAAGTCGGATAGTACAGTTCCAAGAAGTGCATGGGACATCTCCTGAATACTTATTTCTTGGATGTAAAAGCATTTCCCAAATAGTTCTTCCTTTGTTTCTCCTTGGCTCATCACTCCTCAGACTTTGTTCTCAAAATTTTCAAAATTGCACAACACTGGTGAAGAATATAACTTAGGGAAGAAAGACAGGGTTCATTCATTTATCGAAAGGATGGATGCAAGTTTTCTGTGGGGACTATCCCAGTGATTTAGTTAAGAAGTAAGACTTGTCTTTCAGGAAAAGACATTACTGTCACCCAGTAGGTTGAAAGGAAGTACTGGAGTTGTGGCTCATTGTTTAAAGTAACACGTGGCTTATTTTGGAGTCAGCAGCCATCCTTGCACTGTTGCTGTTGTAATCTGCTTTGTCGAGGACATGTTGCCATCACTTTACTGTCACCCGTTGAGGGCATAGGAGGAGCCAATGTAATTGGAAGGAGCTCTTCAAAGAGACTGCTAATAATAGTCGTGTTCCAATTTTGTAGGCGGTCAATCCATGGAAGCATTGCCAGTCAGTCTCCATAGGAGGTATCGTCCAAATAAGTGCTCTTCTTGATGATTTCTTGATATAGCAAATCTAAAAAGAAAATTATTTACCGTAGATTCTTAAAGGTTTAAGGTACCAAAAGCTACAGATGTCATTGTCGTATTTTTCAGTTTCTTGATTATCTGAGATTAGAAAAAGGACCATTTTCTCATCTCCATACTTAAAGTATTTCTACATGTATATATATAAGAACTAAAATTAAAATGTTCCTGCTAGAATATAGCTTCATGAATTTACATCCAAATGCTATCCTGAAAGTACTACACAGTGACTTAAGAGTCATTGCGTTGAAATTGGACTTGAAGCCCTGACATTTGTCTCCTCCCCTCAGGCAAATGCAGATCTGAAATGTGTATGTAAGGGCCCCTCGCTCTGTCCCTCATGCCTGTCTTTACTGTTGGCGAATTTGACTTCACCGGTGTTCTCATAAGACAGCAAACTCCTTTCCTTTCATTCTGTGCTTGGAAGAGATGGAGCGTGTCTCATACTGAAATTGGTTCCTGCCCTTCAAATTAGTAATTGTATCATTTAACTGGATATATTAAATACAGCAAATGAGAGTCTGAACTTTTAAAGCATCATTGTATTACCAAATTGGGGAAACAAAATTGCAGGGATTTTTTAATTTACACCAAAAACAGAGTGAGAAATAATAGTAAAATCACATGCTAACTATAGTAAATGATAATTTAGCTGACATTAATAAACTGCAAATTTCTAGAAGTCAGCTCTTTATCATTACAGTGAAAATTCAGGTTCAATGAAGATAAAGGACAAAATAATAGGATTTCACATCTTCATAGAAAGATAGAAGCATGATCAGATTGGTATCTTAATCAAATTTTTTTAAAAGAGGAGACATGTAGTATTCTTTATGGTATGGCCATACAGTAGACATTTAATAAATATTTGTTGAACAGAATTGACATTTCATTTATCTTGTTCTTTGGCCATATATGATAGCTGGTAATTTAGGAGGGGAAATAAATCAAGCAAAAGAATGTTTGAGACAAACAGAAAATATTAAAAATGTTCGGAACCCAAATATTTTGGAAATAAGGAATAGTCTCTCAAAAGAAAGTGCTTTTCTACTTCAAGCATTGAGAACCAGGCACAGAAAGATGGAATTTAAGGAATGGCCTTAAATGGAGAGTGGTGGACTAGTTAATGTTTCCTCATTAGGATTTTTTGTAAATCTTATTTATTCATTTATTTATGTTAGAGTGATTGCCTTGGATTTTGCACTTTGAGTTCTCTCTCTTTTTGTATGTCTGACTGAAAGCCACCAGAGACAGCTAACTTTTTAATGTTTCTCTAAGATTCCTAAGTATGTTACTCATGCAACAAGGTTTTAAAACTATATGACAAATGCTGTTTACTATCTCTGTTCTTTGATTGTTGGGTTTCTATTAAAACTTCTTTTAGAGATATACGTACAGCATTGTGCCTATAGATAACAATGGTGTATTTTACTCTGAAAAAAAATCCGTTAAGAGGGCAGATTTCATGTTGTGTTCTTTCCACCATAAAATAAAAATATTTCTCAAAGACTCCTATTATCTCTAATTTCTGTGTTCTTGAGCTCCAAATTTCTGGATTCTAATTTATTGAATGTGTGTAGAAATGCATGTGAAGTTGATTTGCACTAAAAGCCAACTGAGACTTTCTTAGAATAAGGAGTTATTCAAGGACATAATTTCCAAAATGCCCAATGAAGATCTGATTTATATCTGATTGATGTTTAAATTTTTGGTGCAGCTATATTATGCTAACCATGGATTTCAGAGTAGGAAAATGGTGTTATTTTTGTTTGTTAAAAGAAACGAGTGATTGCCCTGGCTAGTGCGGCTCAGCGGATTGAGCACCGGTCTGCGAACTGAAAGGTGGCCTGGTGGTTCCCAGTCAGGGCACATGCCTGGGTTGTGCTCAGGTCCCCAGCTGGGGGCATGTGACAGGCAACCAATTGCTGCTTCTCTTGCACATTGATGTTTCTCCCTTTTTTTCTCCCTCCCTTCCCCTCTCTCTAAAAAATAAAATTTTTTTAAAAAAATATTTGAAGAAATGAGAGATTTTAACAGTATTCAGACATCACAGAGTACTTTTTAAAACATTAAAAATACTATGTGATGAAATCTCAATGTGAACAAGCCACAATTTGTGATAGGATGGTAAACCATACTCTGAAAGATTTAATTCTTAATGGAAGTAAACGCCTAGGATTCTAGAAATCATGGTATTCATTGATTCCTTATGTACCAATCGTATTGATTATGGTAAAAAATGGTATTTGAATCCTTCTCACCTTTCTTGAAGGTGCTTATTAGTGTGGTCTTTAAGTTGTTTTTAGAAATCCTGAAGAATTCAGTCACTATCTATCATACTCAGTTTTCCAATTCTTCGGTAATTCTGGATCAAAATGTAAAGTTTATTTTGCCTTGAAATGCATCAGCTTTCTACATTTTAATCATTTAACCTTTCGTTCAGTACATGCTTATTGGCAGCCACTCTGGGTCAGGCACCCTGCGGGACCCTGATGGACAAAAACAGACCAGCCTTGGCTCTCCTGGGCCTTCCAGTCAAGGGCTGCCTGGGATTCTTATGTCCTCTGGAACACAGCGGATGGCTTTGTTTTTTTATGTGAAATGAATTTGCCAATGAGTTCTTTTGTTTGTTTGGCATAACACCAGTAATGTGAACTAATTGGCGGTAACTTCAGTCTGAATGAAGCCATAAATTATAACACCATTGCCAAAGGGCATTTTCGGGACACAGTCCAAGTCGCACCTCAGTCAGATGCATTTGGAGAACGCTGCACACTCTCTCCCCCTCACTCATGTGTCGTCCTCCTGTAGGCTTTCAGGAGCCTTGCCGTGAGGAACCTTATTTTTGTTACTCCATTGCTTCTCGCTTACTCCACAAGGACCCACTGGGACCCCTGGGCGTATGCCCTCAGTTAGGATTGTCAGGAAAAGCTAAATTATAGATCGTCGTTAGAGAAATTGTTTTCCTGATCAGAAACTCTGCTTTGTTGAGCCTCATTTGTCTCAAGCAGTTTCTTGCCTTATTAGATGGAAAAAGATCTTGGCCAACTTCTCTGTACTATTAGTGTCCTTATGTCATTTTTCATGTTGAAATGGTCAACTTCAGCCTGGAGAATAAATAGTTCTTAGATTTCAAAGTAGCAGTCAGAGAATAATGACCTTTACTGTATTTGTAAATCTATTTAGTATCTCCCTTCCCTTTCCCTTTGACCATTTATACTCTGATAGGATTAAGAAAATAGTAAGACTGATTCTGTAGTATTTTGCAATAGTGGGGGATTCTTATCAACAAAATCAAAATTTAACCATCTAGGTTGGTTAAAAGAGAGTTGCAGACAAATAGTTTAAATGATTATCCATACATTTTCTCTCACCCAGAAACATCAATTTGAGCATAATAATTTAAGACTTAAAAATAAAAGTTGAATGTTAGCCTACCACCTAAGTCTTTGTTCATTTTTGCAATTCTTATTGCCTTCATAACAATTTTCATCACAGTGTAGTAGATTGGAGACTTAGAACCTTCTAGAACAAAGTTTATGGCTTTGTGGGGGAGAAAAGTGGTCAAGTGTACTTATGTAATTTACAGTATTACGTTACCTCATATTTGTATAATTTTATTCTAGAATATCAAGAAATTCATTCCAAAGTTAGTATTAACTTAGGAGAGCCACTTAGTTTTTGTTTGAATGTAACTGGCTCAGAAGAGCTATCCCGACTAATAATAATGAACAGCGCAGACAGGAGGAGTTGCCTGGTGGAGTCGCCACCATCTGTGTATGCACTGGAATGTGCAGTTGCTCACTATGGTTATTGTTTGGCTGATTTTTTTGCCGCTATTTCTTAGGGACACAGCAGGTCAGGAGAGATTCAACAGCATTACCTCAGCTTATTACAGAAGTGCCAAGGGGATCATACTAGTATATGATATCACTAAGAAGGAGACATTTGATGATTTGCCAAAATGGATGAAGATGATTGATAAGGTAAGTCTTGCACTTTTCTCTCAAGATGTGAACTCTTTGCTCATGGGTGTTAATCCTTATAAAAGGAAGGAAAAAACATATTAATGAAGCATATGCATTTTATACTAAAGGTCATTTAGTCCATATTATAACAGTCAAAGTAGGTGTTTTTTTCTGTTACTGAGAATCAGCTTAAAAATAATAAAACCCTGATTTTTATTCTGGTACCTTCGGCTGCCTGACTTCAAACCCAAACAAGCTTATTCCACGATATCTGGCTGCTCCTGTGGAATGAGATAAAGAGCATCTCATTTCTGCAGAAAGTTCACATGGATGTTCATTTTGTGAATGTCCACTGAGAAACAGCCTCAAGAAGAAAGAAGATGGCCTTGTCCACAGTCAGTGCCTGTGGACACTCCAAGGACCTCGGTCATCCACAGGACACCTACCCTTAAAATTGTAGGTGTCCTTTAGGTTTTCATTTTGAACCAGGAATTATCCCTTTGGCTCATGATCAGCTGTATATAAATAATGGTATTTTTACACACGCACACACCATATATACCATATATATATATATGGCATTTTTATATAGTATTATATATGTATTATATATAATATATAGTTATGATATGGTATTATATAATACACATGTATAATATATATGGTATTTTATATTAATATAAATATAAACTGTGGGTTCCCCTCTAAGAAGTGTGTGCCCAAATATACATTCAGAAGACAGCAGTTTGGGGTGAGATGGTGGTATACAGTGACCACATTTTGAGTTTTCTTCCTCTTAATGCAATACATTAATGTTTAATTCCTTTTCATAACAAGCCCATTTAATATAAATTGGGTTTCTTTTACGAATTGTATTAAACCATCTGTTAGATAATGTTGGAGAATGTTTGCCGATTTCATCAAGCCTGTTGTCGATGTGTGCCTCTTTGAAAATGTGTTGGGGTCCAGGATTACAGAAATGATTGGAGCCTGAGGCTGGTTCTGCAGTGAGGCATCACTGAGTACTGATTTCCTCCCGTGCAGAAGCCACACAGTGTGCTTCTAAGGAAATTAGAAAGGGGTAGTTCTAATTGCTGGTTCAATTTTTCAGAATGCACTGAATTTAAAACCCCAAACAATGGCCTCAACCTTAAAGGCCCCCTTTAGGTACTTCATTTTGTGACTCTGCCCAGGTCTTGAGGTCCAGTGCTCTCCTCTCTTTCACACTTGACTCTTGATTTCTGCTCTTTTCTGTGGAAGTGCAGTCATTTTTTGGGCGCTTACTGTTTACCACGCAGGCACTGTTCTTACTCAGCGCCAACGTGTTCCTCTTACCTGTGCATTACTAGTGAGACCAAGACCCTGAATAACCTGGCCAGGGTCACGTCATTCCAGTGCCTTTTATTGCAGTCTACCTCAGATAATTTTTTAGATTACAAAATCAAACAAGTCATTTAAGAAATATTAACCTTTTTAAAGAGAGAATTCTATTGTGCATGTACATTTTTAAAACCTTAGAAATGTAGCTTAATTACTATTTTCCTGATTATAAAATTAATAACGCACATTATAGAATATTTAGAAAATCAAAGCACAAAACTAAATTTTTAAAATCTGTAGTTCTACCATCCTGAAAAACCAAATTGCATCTATACTTCACTTAGTGTTACTTCCTGCTTATTTCAAGAAATAGTACATTCTGAAGGCCTCCCTCTGTCATTAAGTTTGTTCTTCCAGAGAGTGTTTTTTTAAATGGCTGCATTTTTTTAATATACCTTAATTTATTCATTGTTTTGTTGAGTTTTTGCAGTTTTTTTATTAACGATCATTTTTAAGTACTAGAGAGTTTTGCTTGTGTTTTGAATAATTTCCTTAGGGTAGACCTAAGGAATTATTGGTCAAAGACTAAAAAACATTGTGGTGCATAGTGCCTGTGAACACGTTTACTTCCTAAAAATGCTGTGAGCGTTCTGATATACCGCAATAATCAGATCTGCCTGGGACAGAGGAAATGCTCAAAGATTTGTAGAGTGAAAAATATTGGATTGATTTACATTTCCTGTCAGCATATGACAATGCCCATCTTTGAAATGCAGCTTCTTTTAAAATTCCACAGTATGCTTCAGAAGATGCAGAACTTCTTTTAGTTGGAAATAAGTTGGACTGTGAAACTGACAGAGAAATCACCAGACAGCAAGGCGAAAAGGTGAGAGAAATAGGGGAAGCAGGAAAAAGAAGTCACAGTTCCCACACTTTGTACATTTAACAGTTGATACATTTTTTCTTTTAACAGATTTTTTTTTAATTATAAAATAGTTATATACTTACCACTCAGTCACATCATGTTTGCTTTTTTTTATTTCTTGCTTAAATTCATTTTGAAATGGAAGGAAAAAACCATATTAGTATATGCTGCATTATTATCTAACCAGACATTTTATACAGAGCAACATATTTTTAAAAAATTGATTTGAGCCCAGGCTGGTATGGCTCGGTGGATTGAGTGCTGGCCTGCAGAATGAAAGGTCGCCACTTCGATTCCCAGTCAGGGCACCTGCCTGGGTTGCAGGCCAGGTCCCCAGTTGGGGGCATGTGAGAGGCAACTGATCGATGTATCTCTCGCACATTAATGTTTCTCTCCCTCCCTTCCCCTCACTCTAAAAATAAATAAAATCTTTTTTAAAAAATTGATTTGAGAGAGAGACATCAGTCTGTTGTTCCACTTATTCATGCATTCATTGGTTGATTCTTGTATGTGCCTTTCATGATTGAACCCACAACCTTCACATATTGGGACAACACTAATGAACTGAGCTCCCCAGTCAGGACCAAAAAACATTTTTTAAAGCATAAAATTGCTTTCATGATTTTCTCTTACTCTAATGTGTTTTAACCTTCCTCAGAGAGGAATCAGTGATATTCACATTTTAAATGTCAGCTACATTGCAATTGTAGAAAATTGGGTGTATAATTTGACTTAGAATTCCCAGTATCACTGTAGAGATTTTGTTCTGTTATTTACTTATAATGTGGGGATATGCTGCACTTGTGAACTTTATAGTTAAGCATAAACAGGCTTTTACAAACCTTTCGTCCTCCCCTTCCCTTAAAGCTGAAGCCCAGAAAAATACAATTCCCCTGTCATAACCACATGTTCGTGTATTAGACTGCATTGCAACCCACACAGAGAAAAAATAATTTTTTTCCCTTAGTTTGCACAGCAGATAACTGGGATGAGGTTCTGCGAAGCAAGTGCCAAGGATAACTTCAATGTGGATGAAATATTTCTGAAACTTGTTGATGATATTCTGAAAAAGGTAAAAAAAAAAAAAGAAAAAAGAAATCTACATGAAAGTATTTCATCTGAAACCTGTTGTTTCCTTTATTATTTTTTTGGTTGAGAATTTTTTATTTTGAAAGAGAAGTACAGCAGTTTTTCCTCAGTGTTAGGAACCAGGTGAACTTAACTCAGCCAGTAGCACCCAGCCAGCAATAGTGGGAGCTACTGCCCATCCAGTGGTTTTTTTGGTGTCTTTGGGATTGATGTCCAGTATATTTGCTTAGCTTTAAATACAGTTTGGTGGAGTGACTGGAGCTGGTGTACAATATGCCATGTTTATGTGACATTTGCTTTTCTTTTTTTCCCATTTTCTCACAAAGATTAAGTTAGATACAGATGGTGGAGACCTAGCAGAATGTGCAAGTGTCTTAGCTGAGAAGCCCCCGGTCCTTGCCTGTCTCAGAGTTCTGCTCTAGCAGGACACTGATTCCATTGCCAAAGCCTTTCCATGATGCTGAGTGACAGGAAAATTGCTGGACAGTTTCCCTGAACGGCATCAATTTCTTGAGGCATCTTTAGGCTTACATTCAAAAAATGTTTAGTAAGAACTTTGTTATTGCAAATTATCTGCTCAGTTCAAACATAATTCAGAAGCTTCTAATAAAATGGTTGGTTTATTACAGAGGTTATTTCTTTCTTTAGTAGTGCTGTACCCATTTATTAATGCACTAAGCTTCCATTTTACTGGGTTGTGAAAAATACATGTGTTTGAGATCTGTCTTGTCACTTCCACCACAGGGTGTAAGCTTGGCAGTCTGTGTTGTGACACGCTATGCCTTAAAACCAAACCTGGCTTTGGTTCTTGGCTTAATGTTTGAATGTCTAATTAAACTTGATGATTCGAGAGCTTTATATAAAAATACTTTATTCTTATGTAATTGTACAATTTACAGAGCACTTACATATACACTGTATAGTTAAAATGTATTTTTTTATCTCTTTATTTTGAAGATGCCCCTGGATATTTTAAGGAATGAGTTGTCCAATAGTATTCTCTCATTACAACCAGAACCTGAGATTCCACCAGAATTGCCTCCACCAAGACCACACGTCAGATGCTGTTGATTTGCTACTTTGGAGACAAAGTGGAAATGATTCCTAGAAAGGGGAAAATGTTCTATTCTGCACTACAATCATTTTGAAAATTTCCTTTCGCACTTTGTAATCCAAGTCAGAGCTATACACTAACTTGTAAATATGCAAATATGCAATTCTGGGTAAGTTTTGGTTATAAATTACATATATCCCTCCAAATTATTATATTTCATTCATTATCCCAGTGTCTAATGTACATACTGGGAAATGTAGTACTTCTAATATGAAGTGGGAGAAATGAAAGGTAATGTTTTTTGAAATAAATAATTGTCCTTGTTAATTATATTATGAGGACAGAAGATATTCTGATAAGAAGAAAGAACGTGGTGCTTTGCTTACTGTTTTAAAGAAAATTTGTAAAACTAAAGACTTTTTGAAGAAAAAAGAATGCTATCTTAAGTGCTTTTTCTTTATTTACAAGACATTTCCCCCAGCTGTCGCATCTTTGAAGTATTGGAGTGTTTCTACCACAAAGCAAAGCTCCATTCATAGACGTCATTGAAGGTTATTTATTACTATTATGTAACAGTAGAATATTACTAGTTAGAGGGTAGGATTTGACTTGATTCTGAGGCCACAGAGTCTCATAGTTTCTGAATGGATATACCTTATGCTTTTAAGAACTACAGAGATTCATAAAAGAAAGAAATGTTTTTGAAGCTATAGAAGATTTTAAAACAACGCTGCTGTCCTAAAATCCTGTTTAAAGGAATTTTAAAGAGATACATTTTACTATATCAAAGAACATTCATGTATTTGCCTATACACTCTATACCTTTGTAATGATAAAACTTCTCCCCCTTATGATGAAGCTTATCCCTATTAAGCTTAGACTGTGTTATTTTTTTTTTTCTTTCTGGTCTGATAATGAATTTGTGAACTCTATCTTTGGTATACTTTTTATTAAACTGCACTGTTTTGTTTAGTCAAGATAAATAAGTAATTATGTATTTGAATAACTTGGTGTGTCTTGAGTGTTGTGATATGAAAAGCATTGTGGTCTTTCTACACTAATGAAGTGCAAATAAAATTTTGTATTTATGAATGATGGTTGAGTCGCCACATTTATTTGTGTCATTGTAAATTGAATATCTGACAATATTCTTCATATACTCCACCTCTTAATCTTTGGAGTGTTTTAGATCAGAATAATGCAGTGCCCTTCACTGGGGAAAAATAGTTTGGCAGTTTCCCAAAAAGTTAAATGGAATACAGTGTGACCTGGCATATATTCTCCTGGGTATATTCCCCCAAAATTGAAAGAAGCGACAAAAACATATTGTACTTATACACCAGTGTTGGTAATAACTAAAAGGTGGAACCAAACCAAATATCCATCGATAGATAAAAGTTCAAACAATGGAATATTCTTTAAAAGGAAGGAAATTCTGATACATACTGCAAAATGACTGAACCTTGAGGACATTAAGTGAAATAAGCCAATCACAAAAGTACAAATAATACTGTATGATTCCATTTATATGAGGGACCTAGAGTAGTCAACTCATCAAGACAAAAAGTAGAATGGTGGTTGCCAAGGGCAGGAGGGTGGGGGGTAGGGATTAAGAGATTAGTATTTAATTGGGACAGATTTAGTTTGGGATGGTGAAATGTTCTGGAACTGGCCCTGGTCAGTTGGCTCAGTTGGAACATCATCCCCTACATCGATGAAGATTGTGGGTTCAATCCCCAGTTGGGGCACAGAACTAGGTTGTGAGTATGATCCCCAGTTAGGGTGTGCACACAGGAGACAACCAATCCAGGTTTCTTCCTCTCAAGTCAATAAAGATATTCTTGGGTGAGGATTTTTTTTTTTAGTTCCTTAAAAAAAAAGAGTTGTGGAGCTGGATGGTGGTGGTGGTTCCACAACCATGTGCATGTCCTTAATGCCACTGGATTGTACATCTAAAAATGACCAAATAGCCCTGGCTGGTATGGCTCGGGATTGTGCATTGGCCTGCAAACTGAGAGGTCACCAGTTTGATTCCCAGTCAGGGCACGTGCCTGGATCAGGGGCCAGGACCCCAACTGGGGGCTTGTGAAAGGCAACCATCCATGTTTCTCTCACACAGATGATGTTTCTCTCCTTTTCTCCCTCTAAAAAAGTAAAGAAATAAAACCTTTAAAAAAAAATGATCAGATACATATCATATTTTGCTGTGTATAATGTGCATCTCAAAATTTTGGGCCTAAACTTCCAGGAAAAATTGTTTTAATTCAATTATTTATATTTAGATACTTGTTTCTAGTATTATAAAAGAATTTAAGCATTTGTTTTTTAATATACTATGATACAAGAAATGTAACATAATTATAAAACACAAGAACAGTTACAAGGTATTTCAGGTACTACCCATGTATAATGCACATCCTTATTTTTCCCTCAAAAATTTGGGGAAAAAAGTGTGCATTATACATGGCAAAATACAGTGTATATGTAAAATGTCCTCAAGACTTTTTAGGATGTGTATTGCCAAAGTACACATCATTTCTAATGTGTGTACCTTTTATGATTCAACAGTAATGGATTGTGCCAATTGTTTACCTGTTATTACCTCCATGCCTACCCTCTAGGTTCTGCTGTCTGTTCTTGGGGCTGGGACTCTAACGGATTGGCCAGGCCCTCCTGCTCTTCCTATTAGACCTGCTGATGAGAGGAACGAGGGATTTGGGAGGAGAAAAAGAAGGAATTTGCTTGCCGTTTTTCTGTTCCCATCAGCCCCCTGCAGTAACACCCTGCAGCCAGCTCCAGCTTCCAGCTTCCTGTGCCTGCCCCAGACTACAGCCTCACTGTACCCCACTGGGCATACCAGGGCATTGGGGCTGGTCAGGGCTGCCTGCTGGGCCACACACCCAGGCCATCCCAGCACCTGTCCCCACCAGGTCCTGTTCCTACTCAGTATCTGAGCACCTGCCATGCCACGCCCCTCCTCAGAAGCTCAGGCCACCCTGCAGGAGAGCCTTCTTCAGCTTGCAAGTTGGAGCAACGCCGCCTCTCCATTTTTGTCCCCTAGCCCGGGGAGTAGCAGTTGCTTCCTTGGTGGCTTTATGTCTGAGTTACCTTAGCATTCCCTCTTTGTCAGTTTAGCATTTTAACAACTGGCTGGATCCCTGTATTAAATCCCTCTGTCTGATGATGCCTCTGTGTCTTTTCTTGACTGCTAGGTTACTTGGTATCAGGAGTGGCCTCAGGAATCATCCTCAAAGATAAGTTTAAAGGGACAGAAAAAGTTTGTTTGCCATGGGCATTTGCGGCTAATTAAGCAATTTGTGGTCTCTTCTATTTACATCTCAATTTTAGCTCCTGCATCTGTGCCTGTCAGCTGTAGTATTGACATAAATGCCATTCTTGTTCAGCAGAGTAGTTGGGGATTAAAGATAGGACTTGGCAAGAAGCATCAGTTTGATTTATTTACCTCATGAGTTTAATTACAGTTCTACTCTGTTTTTCCAGTGTACTTGAAGGTTTTTCCTCCAATAGGTAGGATTTTGTGACAGTAGGACTAGGATTTTTAGTTTCTATAGTATTATCCTCCATAATTTTTTAGGGGTTGGTTATTCAATATCCATTTTGTGGATGGTTCTCATGGCTGGTGGCCTGTCTTGCCCACGTCATGACCCAATAGGCCATCATGTGACAAGCTGAAACTCAATTTCTTTCCTCCTGCGTTTTAAAGGGAATTCTATTAAACAGTTGTAAATACGCATTGTTTTTATAGCTCATTGTCTTAGATAAGTGGCTCATTTGATTCTGGCAGAAACTGAGATGAGTAGATACAGGTGTTAATGAATGTTGACTTATCCATGTAGCTGGAGAAGAACAAAATCCAAGAAAGTACAAATAAAAATTGCTTAAGACCCCAAGATCTGTAAATTTTGTTATGGCTGAAAAATCCTATTTTCAGTCTATGAACTTGATATTAAACTTAGTTGAAGTTCACCTTCATGGAGAATTCATAGTGGATTGAATGACTGGATGCAGTGAGGAAGTGAGTTATTCTGAATGTACAAATATCCATCCCTTTTTTTACTTTCTGGATCTTAGAGTGCTATTTCAAGTTGGTAGGCAGTTAATGATTTAAAGTTTTGAATTTTGAAATTGAGGGGTGAATATTAGTTGATGACAATAAAGCAAAGAGATTAGTCCTGTTTGTCTTTAGCTGTAAAACAAATTACCTACAATTAGTTGGGTTTTTGGTTTTGGGTTGGGTTTTTTTTTATGTGTGACTTGCATTACCAGGGATAGAGGAAGAAGTTGTCATATAGATTATTTATTACCTGGAAGTTGTAACTAGGCTCACAGACCGCAGATACAGGGAGGTAGGACATAATATACAAGCCTGTTGTTTATGTTCCAATACTGTAGTCAACAGAATTGAAATGTATTGCATGGTTGCTCAATTCAAGACTCTATGCTTAGGTGCTGTAGGGGATACACCCAAGATTAATACAGCAGTCACAGCCCTTCAGAAGTTCATCAAGTTCAGGAAACAGGCCTGTAACTGGAGTATGAGAGAGAGCTTCTGTCCTGAAAGAACGATGATACACAGTCCTGGGAAGCAAAGGAGGCAGAGCCAAGGCCAACGTGGGGAACCGTGAAAACCAGGGGACTAGTCTTCCTTGGCCTTCAGGAATGAGTAGGCTATTACTAGAGGCAAGGCAGGCATGAGGATCAGTGTATTCAAAAACCAAAGGGACTCTTTGATAAGAGTAGAATGTACATAATAAAGCATGAGTTGCTAGCTGTCCCAATCAGTTACAGCTCCCTAAATACTTGGCCGCAACCTGTAAATGTTTGATTAAGCCAGTTCTCATGATAAAGAGAGACAGCTACTAGAAATGTAGTTGAACTGTCTGCATGCACAAACAAAACCTAAAACATCTTATTCTAAAATTATTATTGAGAACGGTTCTGAGAGTAAGCCTTTGTATTTTTAGAAAGAGTGAACTGATGAGTTTGATCCATTTATCAACCAGTTATCTCTGTTCCATAGGCTTAAATCATAACCCTGTCTGACAAACTGAGGAGAATAAACCAGCCCAAATGCACCTGCCTTGGCAAAAACAGCTCACCCCGCATACCCGGGGAGGCAGCCAGTGTCCCCAGCACAATCCCCTGGCTGAGACAGCAGGAGCTCCCACTGCAGGGAGAGAACTTAATCAGCATTATTGACTGATTGCAGTGATTGGGTGTTTAACTTTTCATGGGCAAGATTAACAATAAATCCCCTGATTTTACTAGATCTCTTTCTTTTAAAAAAAGTGCAGACATTTCTGATGCCACTCCAAATACGGTTCAACAAATTCTTATGATTAAAATGGGATGCATTTCATTATATCAAAGAATGTAGATTCTTTGAAAAGACAAAGAATGCTACCTCATCAGGCAGACTCTAGTGCTAAAGCTCCGAGGAAGACTGTGGCCTCGATGTGTCTTAGACCTGTCAGTCCTTAGGGGTCATCAGCTTTACCTTTAGGATCAGCTAGTTAAGCCCACAGTTACCTCAGGGGCCCCTCAATCCAAAAATGATCTCTAACAATCTTGTTAAACCTCAGAAAACAGCTTTTCATTCCATAATTCAAAGCAAAATGTAATAGGGCACAGCCAGGGCCCCCCAAAGGATATTTGTAACAGTGTCCAGAAACTGGGGTGTCCAAGGGGAGAGACTGGCCCTGTGGGAGAGAAAAAGGGACACAGACTCTGGGAAACAATGTGAAGACCACGCAGGAAGAAAGAGGGGAGAAAGGACTCTTGCTAGCGGGCCTTGAGAAAGGTGCCACATGGTTTTGGATTAAGAGCTGCAGATCGCGGCGATGCAGCGGATGGCGCTGAGAACCACAGGAGGCCAGCCTAGCAGAGCCCCGGACTTCTGGCTTTTTTCTTCCGAAGGACAGTACTGTAACGGAGCACAGCCAGGGTCCCCCCAAAGGGTATTTGTAACGGGTTCCAGAGATTGGGGTGTCCAAGAAAAATATATTCTCCTCACCCCAGGGCAGGCTGCCATGGGGGATGGGAGCCTTGAGCAGAGCGTTGAGAGTCATTTT